AATTTTTTGTTTTGCTTGCCCTAAAACTATACTAAAATTAATAGCAACATAGAACTAAAACTTTGTAATGTATGCAAAAACAGAAAAGAAAATTACTGGTAACTATGTTTTGTTTACCTACATCAAAATGGCGCCAACGTGATAAACCACCTTTAATTTTTGTTATTATAGGAATGAGAAGAAAAAAAAATTACTGAAAGATGTAGTGGGTACTTTAGTTAGAAATCAAACCCAGAACACCAATAAATACTGTTTCCTTTTAATACTTTTAACATTACCTATCCTTTAATATTCAGTTTTAGAACAAAAGGATTGATAAATTAACTAAATTTATTATAACAAAATTTCATGTTGTTACCCATAACAAACTTACTATTTTAACTAACCCATCATTACATTATATGAATTACCAGTTTAAGAAATACATATAATATTTTTTGATTGTTTATTACATACATTTGACAGCATATTAGACGCAATGGTTGCACTAAATAATAATATTAATTTATTTCCCTTTTAAATAATGGTCAACCACAACTTAAATTGTTTTTGCATTCCTCATTTTATTTCTCATTTCATTTTATTCTACATTATTTTCTTGTTTCACACATTACACATCAGGTGACCTATGCCTTCAATACCCAGAATTTGGAATCAACTAAGGGTATAGTCCCTAGAAAATATGAAACTATTTTTTCTCAACCTAGAATAGAATCAAGCACTTCACAAGGCTGTGCTTTAAGCACCGGTGATTGAGACAACCAGTCATAGAAGTCTTCAAAACAACTTTCCTTATATAGTTTTTTAATGCTATCTTAAGGCCAAAATAATTGTTGGTTTTGATAAACCCTTTCATAAAATTATGTAATAAACCTTGAATAATTTAATACAACATATAATAATGCAACTTCAAATCCCAGCACCTCCACCATGTCGGGAATCATTACAATTTCATGAATTACCCGAATATCTAAGCTGACCTTGTCATACCAAATTACCTGGGTACTAATACTTAAAAATAAAAATAATCTTAAATACGTGTTATTAAATATTTGAACTGATACTTAGTTACACTCTGTCTGAGCTATTCTCGGACCATACTACCATCCTGGTTTCGGTCTCTTCAGAATTCTTTAGGCAGTGTCAGGTTAACATCATGCGAGGACTGTCAAAACTATTTTTCGCGGTTTTTTGATGAGAAACCTCAAAATTTCTATTGCAATGGGATCATGTCCCTGCCTACAAGATGGCAAAAAGTTATCGAACAAAATGGAACCTACATACTTTAGTTAAATGTAATTAAACTTTATTAAAAAATGTTATGAATTTTCATATAAAATGCGAAGAAATTTTTCTCCAATCTATTATATATAATAGCTTTTATAAATTGCTTAAAACAATTTTGCTTTAGAAAGAACTTCAGCATGAACTCGACAGCTAATCTCTCTAGATAAATTCTAGAATTTGCTCTAGATAAAGTCTAAAATATAAAGGTGTCTCTGACCCTTCATTACAAATTCAATTAAGTTCATTATTAAGCGCAAAATTTAAACCTGTTGTGCAGATTTGACTATTAATCAAGTATCCTAGACAAAAAAAAAACTACTGGGAGAAAATTTTTATAAATATGTGTGCGTATCACATTTATGAGATAAGCTATAATACAAAATAATAAAATATGAGGGATTGAGACTTAATATCTAAATGTATTATTATCTAAATATTTTTTCTTTTCGTACGCATTTATTGCAATGGAACAATAAAATAATGCCATATAATTATACTTATTAGAACTCGATCAGTTCACTCTTATTGTTTTATTTACCATTACAGTACAAAAGAAGTGAAGAATGTAACACACATTTCAGAAAAAAAAAACTTGAATAAAGTGACATAATATAATAACAAATGCCTTAGGTGTCGAAACTTTAAAAGAAAAGCGGCTCTACCAGTGGCGGTTTCAAGAGTTCCATGGATCCAATAATTATAATTTATGTTATTCACGATTTCTGTAGTTGAATAATGACGGTTATATGATAACCCCAAGTCTAAGATTAACACCCAGTAGCACAAATGTTCATCAAGGTTTAATGAAGACTTTAACCTCTAATGAATGTTCTCAATTTGTATCGGTAATGTCGCTTTACAATAATGACATTATTAATTGACGTTTGCGCAACTGGGTGTGAAAGTCAGATTATCAATCAATTGACGAAGAAAATGAATCAATTTAATGAACTGTATTTATATTATTTCGATCTCGAATCTGTTGTTGTTAGTAGCCTCGTGTATATTAAAGGTTACATACGAACTGTTTTTATATTCATTTTTTGTTTGTTACAGTTTCGTTACTTTTTCCTTTATACCAATCAATAAATCCATTCTCAAGCTAGTCAGCTTTTCATTAATTGTCCCAAGCATCGAACCTGTCACAAGTTAGAACCTGAAATTGAATTTGGACTTGTTTTAACGTAACTCCAGTAGTCACATGTAATTATATAAATATACCACTATATCATCAACATCATCAGCCTCTTAATAACCCACTGCTGGGGCTCTGGCCTTACCTATGGATGTAATCGATTTTAACCGAATAGACTAATAGGCCATGACCCATGACTTGCAGGCTCATTGCGGAATGGTGGGCATTAACGACTGCCGATGCAGCCGGGGCAAACGTCTTTATGTGCCTTCGTGGTAACAATTTTTTGTTCACCCATCCTGTGACCGGCCTTTACGAAAATTGCTCAACAACCTACCGAACGCGATAACCATTGCGCCATCGAGCTCCTACTCTTGTGTACTACAATACTAAAGGTTATCTTCTGTTCATTGAAAAACATTGAAAATCTTAAACCTTTGATTATATAGACCTAATTTAAAACTAAATTAAGTATAGTTTGTACTATGGCTACCAATATGTAACTTAATACCTAAGGTATTCAAGGTGTTCTTATGTGCAAGTAACTATTGAAGATATAATAAATTAGGCACCAGTAATACAGCAATTAAGTAATAAATTTTATTATACAAGTAGAAGTAAGCGCAATAACGTATCATACCTGAGCATTATGTGTTAATAGTAATCCTTCGATTATATAATTTGAATAAAAATTTAGCGAATTGTCGGGTATCACGCAAGCGTTTTTGTTTTCTGTATTTTTCCTTTCGTGTTTTTATTTATACTATTAGTGAGGCGGTGTGTATATAGATCAATTCATGGGTCAAATTGTTATGTACGTGAAAATAAGTATAAATACCTACATAAGAATAACTAGAGTATTTTCTTTCAGGTATTGAATTTGTGCCTGTTTACTTTCTACACTTAGACAGTTTCTGTAGGTATTTAACTGGTATAATTGCGAAATATTATAATATTGATATCTAACAGGACTGACGAATCTTTCAAGCACTTGCTACTTTTCGCTACTACAGAGCGTATTCTCAACAATGTTCAGGCATCCACCCAAACAGCCGAAAGAAATATTTTTACAAATATTTTAATTTTTGATAAAGATAAAATTTTGATGGATTCGAACCTATTACCTTTCTTAATCCGGGCGGATGTATAACCACTGAGCTACCCAGGACTTTATATAACAACGTTATCTGTGAGTAACATAGGCTAGTTAGATTAATTATAAGGTGGTATGAAGTTTAGCTAGTTTTCTTTTAAGATACATTATTTATTTGCATCAAGATAAAAGTATGAATATTTTTTTAATCACTTAAATTAAAAGAAAGAGAAAGGAGTCTCAATAATCCATTTCGTTACAATACATTTCATTACTCAACAAATGCCGCGACACGTGCCGCAGCAATGGAAATGTACCAATTGTCCAGATTGTTAATAGACGTGATAAATACAATTTATTATCCCTTCCAAAAATAGTAATACACAATTTTGTTTAAGATACATGTTTGCATAATTCACGTAAAATATAACTAAGAAAAAATAATAATTGGATGATCCTTAATTTGTAGATTCTAAACAATGTTAGTGTAATGTTCCTAGTATCAAAATTGAAACGAAAATTAAAAACATTTGTTTTTTTCCGGGCGAGAAGACAAGAATTTAAACGATTTGATTTTATCGCAGTTCTATAGGTAATTAACTGTGTAGGTATTCAACTGTATAATTATGTTAAATCACAAGAATATATACAAACTCAAGTGGAGCGGAGTGTGTTATTGTAGGTCCATTATTGACTTTATATTTTACATGCTCGATATGTTTATAAATAATGTAAATGTAAACTGAAATTTAAGTATTATTTTTCAAGAAGAAAGCCTTGAATTAATTATTTCAATTAGTAAAATAAGGATGACCAATTAGATGCTTATCTAGAGCCATAGATGAAGAGCATGGGAATAGTTTAGTTGTCTGTGGAATAACTGAATGTTAGGTAGTTGTATTATAGTTAGATTTTGTTTAGTACCAAGTTAAAATATTTGAATAATTAGCAAGTAATTTTTAACTAATCGCAAAAAATATTAGTAACTGAGAAAACTTTAAAAATAGCAAATTAGAGTAAGAAATAACAATAGTAATCGATGTAATAGACACATACCATCACGCATCAGGTTATGACAAAAACTATTGCTCTATGTATGGATTTTGAAGTTAATTAATTATAAGGAACCTTTTTTACGTTTAAAAAAACATTGTTTAGAGAAAGACATTTTTAAACCGACTGTACTAGGTAAGGATGACACATAAAAATCCTATAACAATAATTGTGTTCTGTTTATAAATACGAGCGCTCAATTAGCGTTTGTCACGCGTCCGATCTAGATCAGTGCCAATAAGTGCATCCAGCGTGATAGGTGACGTAACATCCGGCCTTACCTCATTGCTGGGCTCGGATCCGATGGCGATGGCTCGCTCCCATTCTTTCAGGCTGCAGTGAAAGGGTCCTCTTACCCTCCACTGCAGCGGGTGCGCGCGCGCACTCACTTATAAATTCGGTGAAAACACTGACACGACACATTACGAATTCGGCGGCTCGACTAGCCAGCCGATCGCACTTTGTTAATTTCCTATATACTTATAGTATAGCATAGTTTAGTTTCAACGTAGTCGACGTTTTCAATAAGCATCCAATATGAAATTCACGGTGAGTGAGTGCGGTGATAGTTTGTTGTGTAGTGATAAGTGTTGGTGATCTAATAAAAAATGGATTGATAAATAAAACTCATAAACAAAAATCAATAATATGTGTTTATAGAAATATGTATTATCGTTTTTAAAAGTTGAATGTTCTCAACTTTTTCGTTAGTTTGAATGTTGTTAGCGGTAAAGATGATCTAAATAAATTATTTAGAAGCAGTAATTATAATCACGAGCCACACAAGTTACACATGTCTCTGGCCAAAGTAAAAGTAGTAAAAGTGAAATCAAATTTATAATCTCGTCTCGGGGCCATGCGGGCCGTGACAAGTTGCCGGTGGTATGCGTCGCTTGTAGTATTTCCGTTTTTTTCCCGAAACCAGTTACGCGTCTTTTCATATGTAAACAAAAATAACATTAAGCACTATAATGTTTACTAATCATTTATAAGTGTTTCATTAAATATTTCCGTAGAATATAGCCCACGTTTATATCAGTTAGTGCCGTTGTAATCTAAATGGATTATTATCAGTATGAAAAGTTCAAAATTAAAACAATTGTTCTTTATTACAGGTCGTATTTATAGCTTCGCTCTGCTTAACATCTTCATTGGCCATCAAAGTGAAGAAGACAGAAGAACCTAAAGACAAAAGGGAAGCACCCGTTGGATATCCATCACTGTCTTCGCATAACTACCAGCCTTCCCTTGGCCAAGATGATGCTAGTGCCATCAGTATCGGTGCCGGGTACAGCGTAGGTGGAGCGAAACCGAGCTATAGTTTAGAGGGCAGCAGTGGTGGCGCTCAATATCAGCTCGCTCCAGAAGCCTTGCAACCGAGCAGTCACGGCACCATCCAATTAGCCCCTATCACCCTTCAGCCGTCCCATGGACAAGCGTTTGCATCTGCTGATTTATCTCAACTCATGTCACAGCTTTCGCATGGTCTAAACTCTGGAGCCCTTCAACTTCAAACTGGGGAGTCATATCAACAAGCTGCACATGGTGGAGGTCAAGAGCTTTCTCTCCCTCAATATACATTCGCTGGACCTCAAGTACAACAATACGCAGTGGCCGAGCAGCCAAGTGTACCTTCATACGCTGCCGGTACAAAAGGTTTAGGTTCTTACTCTACCGGTCCAGTTCTCTTTTCGCCTTCAGACTCTCAGGGTCAGACACCTGCTCTTACTTACGGCGCACCTAACTCTGGTCATTCTCTTGGAGGTGCATCTGGATCTGGTCACTCTCTTGGTGGTGCTCCTGGTGCAGGTCACGCGTTCCTCAGTGTTCCGAGCTCCGCTCACGGATTTGGTAGTCTCTCAAGTAGCAGCCTGTCAAGCGGTGGTCACTCCTTTGGTGACGGTGGATATTCTCTCGGAAATTCTGGTCATTCTTTAGGTGCACTTCCCCTTGGTTCTGGACACTCTTTTGGTGGATCAATAAAGGGATTGAGTCCCAGCTACGGAGCTCCTTCGAAAAACTCATTCAAGCCGTCTGCTTTCTTAGGCGCTTCCGTTCAAGGTGAATCTGGTCACGGATTGTCAAGCTTGTCAGGTTCTTACGGAGCTCCATCTTTCGGAGCCTTCAGCGATGGTGGCCACGGAGGATTCTCTCTAAGTTCAGCTGGACATGGTGCTAGCCTTGGTGGTTCTCTGGGCGGTTTCGGTGGCGGTTCTACCAAATTTGTTGCACCTGGTTACCTTCCACCCAAGTCTGTAGGTTTCGGTTCTTCCCTCGAATCTGTTGCTTCTTTCGCATCCGACGGTCATATTGCATCTCCTCCTGGCACAACCTATGGAGTTCCTACGTCATCTTATGGTCTCCCATCCTCTGCAACACAGGCTGCTTCATCTTCCAATCCTCAATATCATGTACCATCGAAATCCTCTTTCCCAAGCTTCGGTAGTGGCAGCTCATCATACCGAGGACCTAGCTCAGGTCATGCCTCTCTTAGCTCGTTTTCGTCTGGTCCTAAACACATTTACAGCAGTCATAGTGGACCTAGGTATAGCCATCCCAAGGAAATCCAGGGCGCTCACAGCGAATCCTCATACAACACAATCAAATACAGTGAAGAACTTAAGCCTCGCGGTCATTAACACAGTCTGATTGTGGATACAAACCGAAAAATGTAAATATATACGCGTTAAATGCAGGCTGTGGAGGCGTTTTTAATGATAGCATGGCGTGTAGCGAAAGTAAAGCTTTTCCTATTATTTATTTGCGTACATTTCGCTAATTAAGTGTTCGAGAGCTGCTAAGTGTCCGTATGTGGATGTTGTGCATTGTTATAGGATTGCTTTCATTTCGTCCGTGTACGTAATATTAGTTATGTAGTCCACATAAGACTCATTACTATTTTAATAGTGAAACGAAAATAAAATAACAACTTTGTCATGAATTATATCACCTGTAATTATCATCTGTGATGACTTCGTATTAAAATGTTTCTACGCCGTGAATTTCTGTAAATAATATTAGTATAAGATAGCTTATTTATTATCTGATGCTAGATTTTGTAAGGATTGTTATTGTTACCAATAAATGTTTTGTTATAACTAGCTTTGTTTTAATGTTTGGCTATGGACAGACGGGTAGATATTGTTCGATCGATATTTATTAAATATTGATTGTTTACTTAGTAATATATAACAGTGTTATTGCCTGTATTATTATAATAATAACATATCTTTTATCTCTGTCATAAAAAGTCTGTAAAACCCACCTACTTTAGAGCTTGCATCTTAACATACCATCATTTATAATAATGAGGTCAACAGACTGGTCATAAAAATCATGGATTATTAAAATATTTTATGACAAAGAATTGATGATCGAAATATACTTCGATAATTCAATCATAGATCAGTTTAAGATTGACACAGCTAAATAATGTGATATAAATAGAGATTACATGTGTATATAGACACGTGATATGACTCTTGTAATCTAAACCGGTGAGGAGAGTTTCACTTAGAAGAAAGTGAGGAAATCCGAAGTAGCCACATGTAAACAAGTGCGATTCCATGCATATAGGAAACTGTATGTTTCAATAATTAAATGTTACTATATCGGACATAATGATATAATCTATACTAATAGCAAAGATTAGATTGATTGTTTGCATCGAATTGAGTCCGAAACTACTGATCTGATTTAAAAAATTCTTTTATCTACGGAAAATACATTCGTGGTAGTGATGATACGCGATTGACATAGGCTATTATTTACGCTGGCAAAGTCGAGGGAAAACAGTACCATTAGCTATTATAAATAAATAGTTTATGAATGTTATAATTAAATAAGGAAATTTACATTGATTGGATTTTTAGTTAACTTATTTGTGTTACGGAATCGAAGATTAATATAAATAGTAAATTTCGTGTTATGTTCAATCGACATAAAATTAAACTAAGAAACTTGAATATGATAATGTCATATGCCTCGTCTTGTGTTTGTTAGTTACGAAGATCATAAAAAAAAATAATTGTTAAAGTTGCCGATTCATGTAAATACTATTTCTACTAGATTTATGTAAAAACTCCAAACGTTTGGACCTTCAAGGATGTTTTATCTAGTGGACAACTTAACATCTGTTAACCAGAAGACGCAGTAATGTAGTATTAAAATTCTCTATTTTCGAAAGAAGCTATTTATATTTTGGAGATTGAGCATATCTGCAAATAACATTAACATGTTGCGTGAAAAGAACAATTCACGATTAATATTATAAATATATTCAAGAATAATTTAAATATCATTCCCACGTGATACTCTGCTTTGAATTTATATTAGCTACTGTTATAACGGTGGTCAGGTGTATAAATGTTAAAATTCTGATACGCAACTTTAAACTGCTATTGTTATGATAATATTACATAAAGATTTAATAACCCGTGTATCAGATGTAATGATTACATTGTCAGACGTTTTAAAAGTGTAGAAAACTACATTGTACTAACGCAGCGTTGAAGACCAGGGAAATCTAGGTTCGCGTGACGCGAATCCAAATAATGTTTTGACTTGGAATCGTTAGTGAGGTGACAGATGTCGACTATAAAAGGAGAATTGTTAAGTTCGATGCCAATAGTGATAAGGTAGGGTTCACAACGTGCTAATATGTTCAGAATAAAATACTATGAATTTTGACGACCTCAATGGCCGAGTGACATGCAAACCGGTTTCAAGGTGTCGACATCTGAGAATGCCTAGCTTCGATACCCGGTTACGTTAATAAAGAATTTGATCTTTTCCATATTGTCTCAGATTTTAATAATTCAAATGTCTTGGGTCTAATACGTTAATATATGTACGTCCTAATATATGTATATTACTGGCTATTTCCCGCCATTTTTTCCGCAAAGGTTTTGCTTCTCGTAAGTGAAAGAATTTTTAAATCGGTCTAGTGGTTTTTGAGTCTATTGAATTCAATTGAATAATCAAATTTTTTCTCTTTATAATATTATTATAGATGTGGCTGACAACCCTAGTTATAATCCACAGCATATAGTCGCTATGCGTTTTCAGAATTCAAAGTCACAAAGACCATTTGACATGAATTATTATGAATCGTGATCCACTACTATACTCAAAGAGCTTTCCTTTCTTCGTGTCACTGTGATGAGTGATGATTTTTTTAACACTCAAGGCATTCAGGGAATAGACATTAAAAACTTCTTCCATTTATTGAAGATTTATTCTCTTTTATTAGTCTCGTCATACGTTATGTATGAAAAACCGATTTCTAAAAATAATGCTTACCTCAAAGTATCTTCAATGTTTCAACAACTTTTAAAAAAGTCGTTCGGAAGTTTGTGTAGGTTGTTAATAAGTAAGTTTTATTAAAATAAGTAAATTATAATAATACTAGTGGCCGCCAGCGACTTCGTCCGCGTTGTCCAATATTTCTTCGCTTCTTATAGTTGCAGCGTGATGTTATATAGCTTAAAACCTTCCTCGATAAATGGTCTATTCAACACAAAAATAATTTTTCAATTCGAACCAGTAGTTCCTGAGATTAGCGCGTTAAAACAAACAAACTCTTCAGCTTTATAATATTAGTATAAATGTTATAAAATTTATAGCAAAGCAAAAAAAAGCAATTGTGCTTACTTCGACGACGAAGATGATGATTTGCGTCATCATCTTCCTGCTCTCGGGAGCGATTCTGTAAAAAACCGAACCCGAATTCAAATTCACGCATTAGTCCGAATTTAGTGTATAAATTCTATTGATTCCATTTCTTGTATAAAAATACAAAAAAATGATTGATTATACGTGTCTCAGATATTCTGTCACTGTGTGATTTCGAAACTCACTTCATTGACGCCACGAAATGTACCAATTCAAGATTAAGCGGATGTGAATTTTGACACCTGAGTGAATTCGAATTCGGGTTCCGATTTTCATAGAATCGCAGGGCTGCTCATAGTCTATGTTGGGTCAGCGCAATGTGTCGCCTGTCAGTAGTCATCTCATCGCTCACTCCCTTCACTATCATATAATGCCTCACACAGTCTATCCATTATTTCAGATGTAGTTCTCTTGTTCTCCATTCTTCTCCATCGCTCTCTTATTTACGTTCATTTCATCCCCTCTCATAACATATCCATTCGAGGCCGAACGCTTTCCTTTTAGTTTTTCTGTCACTGGTGCCACTTTCAAACTCCCCCTTCAAAGTGAGATACGCATACCCGTTTCTTACTTTATCCATTCTCGTCACTCCACACATCCATCTCAACATACTCCGCTACATGTCATTTTCCTCTGCGACGGCACAAATATGTCGTCTAAATAAACTATAATCGTATTTGGCGGAACGCGGGACCGTTTCGTGCGTCTATTCAGTGATATTGGTTCGATAGTTCGATAGGCCCAGAGTACTAAAAACCTTATCTTTCCCTCTCCCGCTTTCCGAGAACTTATGTCAGGACCCCCAATCCCATAATAATACATAACCCCGAGCTAATAGTGTTAACGAAAGGGTACAAAAAAATCTATTTAATCCATCAGTCATATAATAGAAAAATATTAGATACGTATTATTTTTACTTCAATTTAATAAGAAATAGCTTATGTAACACACGTTGAAGTTGAGGAGCGGGGGCTCGCTACGTCAGTTTTGTAGGAAACGTACAAAAGCGCGACGTAATGTGGTATTATAACTTTTAAAAAAATACGTGTTTAATATTTTACAACAATCTACCTGACGGATAAACAAAGAAAAATGTAAAGTCATCCCTATTGCTTAATTTTAAAATTTATCGCAATACATTTCAGTTTGAAATTTTAAAGATATTCACGATTTTCAATTTTCCTGTTTAGAAAAGGTTTTAAATGAACGATATCGTTAATTGGATTTGTCTAAGGCATGCGTTAGACGCAGATATATTTGAAAGCTTTTGAGAAATGTCAACCGTAAGAGTTGAATACTACCTTCAATATTTCGACGGCTTTAAACAATTTAACATTCATAAAGTAACATTACTTCACAAATCCCTTTCACAATGGCTGTAACGTTGAAAGGGATATTATACAATTGTTTTCTGTAAACAGCTGAAGTTATAATTTAAGCTTCGCTAATACAAAGAAGCTGAACTGGTCTATTTGAAATTATTATGTCAGTTTTGTGCTATCAACGTCTATGAAGATATGCGTAACGATGATAGATGACTACAACTTGAATATTAGATAACGCTCAAGAGCCGGTGTGTAACAATGTCCGTCTGTATGAAATTAATAATAGTCAGACGTAAGTTAACAATAGATTAATTATTCATAGTTTAAAAGTATGTTTTAGATATATAGTTGCCATTTTTGAGACACATTGCGTCAGTTACATCCAAATACATCGATAAGAAAAAAAAACGTGACTAGCTGAATAGCTAAAGGCTCATGCAAAGATTATTAAGATACTGTGTAACAGATCATGCATTTTGATGAAAACGGACATTTTGAACGTGTATTTAGTATTATGTTGGCGTTCTCAAAATACTTAAATTTAAATGTGGCATAATAATGATTGCGGTCTTTGTTACCATAGCCGGACATGAAATTCTTGTTAATAGTTCCAAAGGTAATATTGTAACATTATATAAAATAAGTTTTATTATTCAGAAAATTACTTACAAAGAAAATAATCACACTTGTGAAATAGATTAGACTCAAAACGGGTACTATCTGTGTGATCAGGATAGATAAAACCCTCGACTCTACACTCAGTTTCATAACTGAGCTAATTTATGTTTGGAAATTCTTGTAACCTCAAATATTTGACTGTACCAAGACACGGACAAATATGCTTTAAGCGTTAAGGCCCTCTGCTTAAGTTCCCATACAAATACGCACCTAGACTAAGTATGTGCTCGCTTGATTTCTTAGATTTTTAATCACAGAAAAAATAAATGAAGTTATAATTTTATTTGCATATTTTGGATTATATCAAAACCATTTTTTTTTTAACTTAAGATGAAATATATAGTCGTATAATCGATCCAAAAACCTTCACACCATTTTACAGTTACAATTTTAATATAAAATTTACAAATAAAATATAACACGATGATGTAGCAATTGGCGGTCTTATCGCTAACAGCGATTTCTACCAGACAACCTTTGGATGGAGAAGAATGAATAGCAGTTATGAAAAACGGAGGTGTAGAGTAAAAGTACGTAAATTCAAGAAAATAAGTAACATTTAGTAAAGATGCATTAATACTTATAAGATACATAAATTTTGAAAATATATACATAAATACAAATAATATATACATACATAAGATATATACTAATAATATACTTTAGTGAAACGAGGAAGGGTTTTAGCAACATAGAATTACAAAGAGAGATAATGATTTTTTACCAGTTCTTTGAAGATAGTGATCGATTGTGCCTGTCTTATGGAAGCCGGAAGAGCATTCCAAAGGCGAACAGCTTGGACGGTAAAGGAGCCATCATAAAAGGTAGTGTTATGGAGAGGAGTTTCAAGTTTCAGGTTTTCCGATGATCTCAAAGAATGTGTAGTGGAACAGTATAGAGGATTAAATCGTTCTTTCAAGTAGCGCGGGAAACGGGGATTAAACAGAATATTATACAGAAGAGATAACATGTGAGCATTCCGGCGAAGTCGAATAGGAAGCCACTTGAGCTGAGTACGAAATTGAGATATATGATCATATTTACGTAATCCAAATATAAATCTAATACAGAAGTTTTGAAGTCGCTCAAGTTTATTTAGTTGGTCTTCCGTAAGATCAAGATAACAGGTATCAGCGTAGTCAAGTAAAGGAAGCAACAGAGATTGTGCTAGAGCAATTTTAGTGGTAGTCGGCAAAAAATTACGTAACCTCCTTAATGATGCAGCAGAAGCATACAGCTTCCGACTAACAGCTTGCAATTGTGATCCCCAGTTCAGACTCCGATCTATGATTATACCCAAGTTTTTAACAGTATCACTAAAAGGTATGTCAGTACCATCGAAATGAATTTTTGGTAAGAGGTGCCAGTCAAGTTTAGCGATTAGCCTAGAACTACCCACTATGATCGTGTTAGTCTTTGTTGGATTTACTTTAAGTCCAAAAGACTTACTCCATGCTACTATACGTTCTAAATCAATATTAGTGGTATGCACTGCCTCATTTAGCCGTGAAGGAGGGGCTTGACTGTAGATTTGTAGGTCGTCTGCATAAAGGTGGTAGGAAGAAGAAAGGTTCTTAGAAATGTTGTTAATGAAAATTGCGAAAAGAAGAGGAGATAGAACGCCACCTTGTGGGACTCCGGCAGTCGTGTCGCACCAAGAGGAAAACTTCTCGTCAATACGTACTCGTTGCCGGCGTCCGTACAGATAACTGTGAAACCACTCAGTTGCGGATGGAGATATGTTAATAGAGCGCAGAAGGGAGAGTAGGATGTCAAAATTTACAGTGTCAAACGCACAACTGAAGTCTAACAAAGTTAGTACGGTTAAAAGACCATTTTCCATCCCAAATCGGATATCATCGGTGATTTTAATCAATGCAGTTGTGGTACTGTGGCCCACACGAAATCCAGATTGAAAAGGGTTTAAGAGTTCATGACGAGAAAGGAAACAATTCAATTGGTTATGGATAAGACGCTCGAGAACTTTGGATAGGAATGGGAGAATAGAGATAGGTCTAAAGTCAGAAAAAGATTTAGGATGAGGTTTTTTAGGAAGAGGAATAATTTGAGCTTCTTTCCAAGCGGAAGGAAAAACTGATTTGGATAAAGAGTTGTTGAAAATAGAGGAAAGGACAGGAAGTATGAAATCAAGTATAGGTACTAACATGTTGCGACTAATTCCATCAGCACCGACTGCGTTGGAATTGATAGATAAAATGCTCTTCTTAACATCACATTCCGTAAACTGAGTAAAAAGAAACGGGGAGTACTCAGGATTTGGTAAAGTAGAAAGTTGTTGAATGGTTCTATTTTTATCCGAGTCGCTAAGATCGGAGGAAGAAGAAAAATGAGAATTGAGAGAATCAATATTAATGTGATGAGGTAAGGAGTCTTGACGTGTTCTACCAATCCCAAGAGATCTGAGGAATCTCCAGACTTTAGCTGGATCATCCTCTTCGACTGAATTATGAATGTGGCGTCGTAAAGCATCCCTACACACCATATTGCAGTGGTTACGAACCTTGTTATATTTCTCTTTGTTGAGATCACTCGGATTACGTTTAAATTTGCTTTTGGCAATGGCTTTTTTATGTATCAGAGATTTTATATCACTATTTAACCATGGTGCCGGAAGGTGCTTAAGTTTGATGAGATGAAAAGGTGCATGGTTATCGTAAAGTTGAGTGACAAGGTTATTAAAAGTAGTTATTTGCTCGTCAACTGAGGAAGCGTTGGTCACAGGAGACCAATCAATATTACGAGCATCGTCCATAAAAGAATCTTGATCTATACCACCAAAATTGCGCTGAAGGATGACTTTGGGCTTTAATTTAGGAGGCCTAATTTTATAGGAAAGAAATATTAAATCATGATATGAGAAAATGTCGGCTGAACATTGGCCGTGTTTAGAAACATACTGAGTTGAAGAAACTATTATCAAATCCAGAAGTGACGGGATCGAGTGAGGAAAACGATGGGTGACTCCAAGTGGAAGAATCTGCAGATTGCTAGATCTAATAAGAGATTGGAGGGAAGTGGCACGGATATCATTTTTTTGAAGGCAGGTATTGAAGTCACCCATAATAATTGAATGGTCATAAGACGGAATAATATCCTCCAGAAGGTTTTCAAAAGAGGAGAAGTAATTAACTCTAACTGAAGGGCTGTAATAGACACCGAGTAAGACTCTGCGATGAGAAAGAGTTACTTCAATAAAGAGGTGCTCACCGGCATTACTTGGCGGTGGTTGACTGGAGGCACTAACAATTTTGTATGGAATACTAGATCGTAGATAAATGGCAACTCCACCACCCCCATAGCCAGTACGATCGTTACGTATAAGTTGGAAACCGGGCAGAGTATATGAAGCTGAAGGTAAGCAGGGCTTGAGCCATGACTCGGAGACTAATACAGCATGAAGATTTTTATGATCAAACGCCGCCTGCATATCATAGTAATGGGCCGGAATACTTTGCGCATTGATGTGAACGACATTGAAATTCTTTGGTACATCGGAAAACTGTTTATCAAGTGATTCAGATAATGAAGGAGGTATACTGGCAAAACTTTCGTTACTGCTGCTGACACTGGATGACAGCGATAAAAAGGGGTCGATATCGCTGTGTGAATCAGAACTAGACATACTAATAAAATAAAATAAAAAACAAAATATATAAATTGCAATAGATAAATAATTATTAAAATCTAAACTGCAATCTAATTCCACCTGCCGGTTGAGTGATATATGGATTTATATTTGACATATATTCTACATTAGAAAAAGACGCAAAAATAGATCAAGAAATAAATAAATGTGGATCGACTTACACAATACACATAGCAAAATAACAAAAATAAAACATATGGCTGTATGAATACAGATCCCTATGCTTTTAAGGAAAGAAATAGTGCTCTGTCAATCTCGCAAAAAGTCAGATGTCACAATAATGATAATAGGTATCAATTTGAGTTTGACAACAATAATATGAAATGGTGTTCAAAGCAAAACCACAATACAAGTTATCGTGGTAATACGAAATTTAAAGCACTTTGATATAATAAGTGTAGTGTAGCGGGTACATGAAGACAGTCAAAGATATGATGAAAGTACAATATCTATATGTGCCTACCGGTCCGCACTATCAGTAACCTATTAAAACCAAAACAGAAATGAAAGTGATAACAACAAATATTACTTCTTACTGATGCCCGTTCGCTTGCTTCTGGTCGATGATGCAGTTTCCTTACTCATACCCGGCTTAGGCATATCGTCAGACGAGATCTTGTTTAACTCATTAAGTGAAGAGATACGATGTCGCTTCCCATCGCCGGTGATTACAAAAACGAAACCCAATTTGGTGAAGCACTTGTTGACACCATATTTTTCACGTGCAGCCATAAAAGCGTCGTGCCGAGACTTCGTAAGAAATTCGGAAATAGTTACACCTGAACCTTTTAAAACAGTTTTAGAAAACCAAATCTTACTGCGCACCTCTTGATCTCGGAGTTTTAGTAAGACTGGTCGAGGACGATCAGTAGTAGTGGTCTTGCGTCCCATACGATGGCAGCGGCTGATGTCATCTTTGGTGAACCCACTGATCTTCATACGCTCTGTAACTGCTTTCACAAGAACAGCTACTGTGTCCTCATTAGACTCCTCCGGTAAACCATGTAAAAGCAACATCTTTCTTCTGCTGTGCATTTCAATGTTGTCAGTTTGTTGCATCAGAAGGTTGATCTGTTCCTGGAGACTTTGTAGCGCTGTCATAATATAGCTTCTAAATGTGGAGAATTCACCGTTGAGGTTAGAGATGGTGGTAGAAGGTGCTGAGGCTTGAAGGTCACTCTGATACTTATCCATTCTATCCATGAACATCTTTTGAAGCTGGTTCATTGAATTTTGGATGGCGTCCATTTTGCAGTAATAAAGTAGTGGAATGTACACGAGTGTAACAGTAATATAATGTGGATTTAAGTAAGGATAACACTCGTCAGCAGGTAAGATGAATAATACTTTAGTATCTCATAAGAAATAAGCTTCTCAGTAGAGAGAATAAATATTAATTAAAATAATTAAACTGATAGATTTTTAAGGCAACTTTTTCTTTTACACCTGTTTTTGTTTTCGATCGATTATTTATTTTAAAATGATTTATATTTGGCAAATATTTGGACAGCCTAAGAATAAAACTTGTTTAAAAAGTGGTAATTCGTAAAACCTCGTTTTAAAACGCATGTTACTAAAACAACGTAATAACGTATAGTAAATAATATGATTAGTGATAGTGGAAGAAGAGGACTGCAAATGAAATAATTAATGAAGAAATGAGAGTGGATGATGTTTAACCACAAAGAATACCCACCAATCCACTGTATCGGTTCAGCCTATAGAATTAGAAATTCTAATAATGCAATGATATCCCCTCGATAGCACATGCTATACGAGCGATAGTATGGAGCTGTCGAGGGGACAATCTAATAAAATGGACGAATACAGTTAGGACTTAACTAACATAAAGACTAGGGTATAAGCAATACCCGCGGACCAGGGTAGAAACACCTGAGATAAAGAATAAAGGAAAATTTTAACATAATAATTGTAAAATAACATGAGTAACTGGGACGATGGCAATGAATTAGACGTAAAAAGAAAGAAAATGACAATGTAATAGATGTAAGACAATAAAACAATAACGAATGTAAATGGAACAGATAAGAAAGAAAATTGACAAATTATAAATATAAATAACAATTAGCTAGGGGATAGTTATAGATGTGGCAGTCCCAGCCACTCGAGGTGTGAAAGAGAATAGAATGATAGAAAGACATGTATGAAGAATGGAAGAACGACCAAAAGCTAGAACTGGTATGGAAGTGTAGATCGATTAACAAAGTCCTGTAATTGTGTGGGTATAGTCAGGAAGCTCCGCCAAAATTGAAAGGCGGGCATTAAAAAAAACACATAGAATGGAAATAGAACACTGATTGAAAAAAAGAAGTATAAGGAAAAGCATACCATGTGGTTGCAGCGAATTTTCAAAGATCCTGTACACAATTGGTTATATAAGTTCACGGTTGATGGCGCATGTAGACCGAGTGGAAGTCACTTCCGATGATGTCGTAATATTTTATAAATAGCCGCTTCGGCTGCCGAACAAAAGGGGTTACTTGATACTAAAATTTTTTATATTTGTTTTTGTTACATTGTGTGCGGCTAACGCTCCTTACTCGTTACATTGTACATAGAACGGCATATCGACGGTGACAGATGTTGTACAATTAAGAACCTTCACAGTATTACATAAGGTGAGCTTAAAATCAGAATAATTGGATAGTTGTGCTGTCAGCTGTACCATGAAATCTTTGATGTCAAAGAACATTTTTTGTGATAGTTTTTTTTTTAATGAGATTGCTATTACGGTACTGAATAGAATGCGGGTATTATTCAATATGTTACAAAAATACTATCACTTTATATATAGTTAGAAAGTAAAAAATACTGGATTTATTTTTATTTTTTTAAATGGCTGTTAACCCTTAACCCACTTATGTCTTCGTGGTCTTTAAGTCTTCAAGCTGGTAAATAAGAATTTATAAATTGAGTAGCAAAATACTTATTGAAATAAACAGAAAATTAATATCAAGTTACGATCAGTTGCTTTGTTTATGATAATTACAAAGTTGTTTAGCGATGCATTTGTATCACGGCCACGGTTGCTATTGTGAAGTTCAATGCGTGTCTGTGGCCTAATTGGATAATTTTGCCCACCCTAGCATTAGTACCTGTATTGTTTATCTATTATTAATAATTGTGTGTGAGCAATAAAGTGTATATCTATCTATCTATCTATCTATCACAAGACCATTCAAAGGTATAGCGACTGTGATAGTGATTTATGGAGTAATGTTACGTTCAAAGTAGCAATCGTTTATGGAACGACAAATAATTTCAATGAATAAGAAATAATAAAAAACTTAGTAACTTTAAGTAATATTTTCGTCTAACACTTGCATTAGATTCCAATAAACAATTTAATAAATTGTTGTTTTCATTAATAAATAATAATTGTTTTTATTTTTACTGAAAAATTCTTAAAATATCCACTTTGTCCCTGACACACTGAGATGGGACTCGAACCTATGATCTGTCACAATCCGGGCGGCTGCTTTTTAAGCGTTTTTCATTAAGAATAATATTCAGTATAACATTGTAACTGTAAAATTGATAAAATGTAATAGTTTTATTCAATAGGGTGATAATTTACGCGTGCGAATTTGCGAAATCGGGCAAACAGCTAGTGTTATATATCATGTCATAGTTCAGGTAAAGTTATAGTTGACATTAAAATGAAACTTGTATGGCGTTATTGATTGAGAACGTTTTATTTTTGTTAATTCTATACGCTAAAACAAAATTACAATGTCAAAAAATTTTAACCAATCATATAATGATACCGAGAGTTATTCATTCAATGTAAACACAAATCTATTCCAATATTTCAATCATGCTTAAATAGTACTGCATTATAGTAATTTCTCAACTACATAGTAGAAGCTTTAATTTAATTTTTAGAACGTTAATTGTAATATTAAAACGATATTTATAAATTATACTAAGTACATCTGAAGTCAAAAGTTTGTGAAGATAAAATAAAAAGCATTATTACTATATCATATTATTATTATCATCGACCGATTTTTAATTGTTTAGAAACACGTAGTATTCCACCTATCGAACAACGTGAGAATTAATGTTCAAAGCAAAATAATTCTTAGCACACTACTTGGAGTAGTTCAGCAAGTAAAAGGTGAAATGTTAGAGATGCACTTGGATTAAAACAGATGGCGTTAAATATGTACAATCAAATATTTTTATTTCATTTGAAATACAAACATTATAATTGGTATAGCAAAAATAATGTAGGTATTTTATTTGGGTTTTCAGATTTTGGAAAATGTTTATTATTTAACAACCATATAACAGTTTATTAAACAGAATATGTCTTTATAATGTATAGAAGAAATAAATTTACCTACTTGATAATTACAAGTGGGATTCAAACCCGGGATAGGACAAAAGTAGTAGTTCCTTTGTACCTCGCGGTAATGTGGTTTTTTCATATTTTGGAAACACGAATCATTTACACCTCTTCAAAGAAAAGTTGTGGTAACTGTTTTTACGTTTATAAATTTCGAAAAGAAAATCCCTCCCCCCCCCCTATATGTAAAATGGAGATAATATTGGAGAGGTCTTTCAAAAACATTAGAGGTGTGGGAAGGCGCATTTTCGTTTAAGTAAACCGATTGCTTTAAGCTTTAAAGAGTTATTTTTTGTCAGAGTCAAGAGTCCTCCCCCTCTACCAACTAAGCGGTCGTTGGTGAAAATACAAACGTTACGGCAGTGTTACCTATATATAACGAAGTTAAAAGGAAAACTATCTCGCTTAATTTGGCTTTACAAGTATACGAGTAATAGTCAATCAATTGTATTTCATTCGAAAATTTCTAACAACTCCATAGAAAACAACATATGCGATTATCTTTACTTTTTTAATAGATAATGGTATGGAACCCTTCCTGCGCGAGTCCGGCTCGCATTTGACCGATTTTTTAGTATTGCAGCGGAATGTAGTGACAAATATAAAAAAAGACAATATAACTTCATCACTACATAGTATAAAACAAAGTCGCTTTATCTGTTCCTATATCCCTATTTATGCTTAAATCTTCAAAACTACGCAACGGATTTTGATGCGGTTTTTTTTCATAGATAGGATGATTCGAAGGGAAGGTTTTTATGTATAATACACGCGGATGAAGCCGCTGGCGAAAAGGTAGTATGTTATAAATGAAACGACTTTTAAACGATTTTATTGCGTTAATTAGGCTTATGTGAACACGGAACCTGTAAAACTAAATATAACATAACAAGTAATTCACAGAGAAGACTTATAAATATAATAATATTAAATATTAAAGAACATCATATACCTACATTGCTCAGATTCCAAGATGCGTAGCTAGAGCACCTGTATTATGGAGTATCTGAGACATCGAAGGTAACACAAACACCAAGACCTGAGAAAATATAGAAAAGTTCATTTTCTACATTGAACTGACCGGGAATCGAACCCGGGAATTCAAGATGGTGACACCTTGTAACCGGCGCGCGAACCACTCGGCTACGGAGGTCGTTAATAATAAAATACAAACTCGATGAAACCGTTTAAAATATAAGAAATCAATATAACTAATGATGCTTAGTTTGTTTAATGATTATTAAATTTACTTTTCTATTATATATTTTCATTAAAAAAATAAAATAAAACCATAATGCCTACACATTTACCAAAAACTGTCCTGAATAGTTACTAAGTGAAAATATTGAGACGATTCAAAAGTGTAATTCTTGTGTAAATGATTAAAATAACTTTCATAGATAGTTCCCACATTTACTGAATTAGGTAATAGGTTAATAAGACAATATTTAAGACACGGTTTTAATTTTTTGTTTAATTTGTACCATCTCGTATGTATAGGATCGATTTTTAACGGTATATGTACCTGCAAGCTCACACCCGATATATTTCAAAGAGAGACGCGTTAATTGTTGTGAGTACTACAAATTAAAAGTGAATGCTTATATAACCGAGTTTATTAGCAAGTCATTCATTACGATTTGTAATGGTCAACATCTTGTAGTTTCTAATTTAGCGGCAGATGTCGGCCCGGTATACGATAGGTATGCGAAGTTACATATGAGAAGAAAATTATATATCTAATGAACTGAAATTAAAACCTTTTTAAATTTACTCGTGTAAACGCAGTCGTTATTATCGTATAACTTACTAGTATGATTGTGGTTTATGACAGTGTTCCAGTGATAGCGATAAAATATTTTTAATGAGCTGCGTGAGCGATGTTACGTTAAAAATTTTCAGGAATAATGATCCGTGGGGGTTGATGTGCACTAAGTTTTCTAATTATTAAACGACTAT